TCCCACCTTCCGACTGGTTGCTATGATGCTCACTGACCACCAGGGGGCAGATGCTCAATGCAGGAGCTGCCGTGACATGCACAGAGAAACGGCACTGCAAACCTGGAGCCCAGAAAGCAACACTTGGCTTCTCCCAAGTGGGATACAGTCCCCACCACCACCCCAGAGCAACAGCCCACCAAATCACAGCCGACGCTGCCGAGACCCCATGGCGCAAAATGCAGCCCATAGCCCAGCCCAGAAACGGCCCCTGTGGGGGCCGGGTAATGATGTCATGTAGCAATGGCCTGCTTCCTCTCCCTAGCAACTAGCCTCCTTGGAGTTTCTTCAGCCCAGGAACCCTACTTGCTTTATAGCGAGGTGCAAACATTTTACACTTTAACCAAATGTCTGTAAAGTGTTTTCCATGCCTCATCTCATTTGATCCTCACAGAAGTATTAACCAAATGTTTGTGAAGCATTTTTCCATGCCTCATCTCATTTGATCCTCACAGAAGTCCTGGAGTAGGTAGATAGGCGAATCCTATTTTCTTTTCATTAGCCAGAAAATGGAGATTTAGAAGCTTAGAAATTTGACCCGACTGAAAAGAAGTAAGAAATGGTGGAACTTGATAATGACTTCAGGTTTTCTCCCAGCGCAGAACATAGTCAAACACTGTGGCAGTTAAATATTTTACCCTTTGTTCTCCCTGCTTGATCTACAATAATAACCTGCTTCTTGTTGATATTTACTGCTGTGTTGCTGACAATTACCTGAAAGAGAAGTTGGGGTGCTTCACTGGGCTGGAAAAAGTTTAGCTAAATCAGAAAGCAGTTCTAATTAAGCAAGTCTATTCTACGTATATAAAAGGCTAAGTTGACTCATGCATGTGTGATACATATAAAGCTCTCACTGGTGCCAAACGCATGCATGTGTTTCTGTCATTGTCGATTGTGAATTTGGTTGACACTTCTATTATAGAGAAAGGACGAATAGCGATTTTAAAATATTTCTTCTAATTAATTTCCTTTCAAATGTGTACGAATTCATGCACTGGGCCACTAGTATATTTATATGAAAGAAAGC